AGGCTCTGTGAAGGAGAGAAGAGCTGTGCTTATGCTTTCAATAATATATCTTCATCTTTGTAGTTGTTAACATAGTATTTGCTCAGTGATTTCACGGAGTTAGTATTCTGAACTTTTAAAATGGTTAAAATCCAGAGGGGAGGGTGGGATCAGAGGGGGTGCTTCTGGTTAGTGGGGATGAGAGTGCAGTGGCATAGATTAGATGTCCGCTTAAATAACAAGGAGTGAACTCGCTAACCGTCCCATTTCTTATGCTGATCTGTTCTTATTCTCCGTAGTCTATCACAGCAATTATATATCACTGAACACTTGGAAATTAAACATATAAAGCCTTTTTTGGTAATTTCCAGTAGACTTGAACTTGTACTGCTGACCTGTTTTACGTTTTACGAAGAATTTGGACTCATGTAGCCAAATTTCATGCAGTCGACCAGGGGCTTGGATCACCTGTGCACCTCCTGAGTAAATCATTCCGGGGCAACTGGGTCGGTGCTGGGCTCAGTCCTGTTCTGGTAGGAATGTGGCTGTTCTTTTGCCTTCTGAGTTCCTGTGCCGTCTGACTTTGACTACTTCACATTTACGGCTGCTGTTGCTTTGGTTTGAGAACCATTTCATTAATTCAGTGAAGGAGTTTCCAAGGAAGATTTAGGATTTATTAATGTGTATTTCTTGTTTTTTCTGTATTTTAGCCTGCACCGGTGTGTGCTGTGATTAGAAGCGCTTGAACTTTTCCTTGGGACCATCAAGTTGCCCTGGAGCCGATATGTAAACTTCACGTTACATATGCAAACTCAGGGCAGCCATTCCAGTTTGCAGAGGAAAGACAACTTTCCACTTATGACAACTGCCTGCTGTGCAGGAGATAACCAGAGAGCTGGTTAAAATACATAGAGTTTCAGTCTTGTGAGAAATTTCCTCATCTTTGTATTTGCATTTATTCTGCAGCGGAGTAAAACCAAATATTTTCAATATTTTCAATCAGAGTGAAATTCTTAAATATATTTTTGAGTATTTTCTCGTTTGGTTTTTTGTCTAGGTTTTTAAACATTTAAATTAATATTATTGTTTCTTTTTTTTAGAATACAGAAGTGTTATATGACGTGGCTTGTTAAAATAGATTATTTTAAAATAATTTAGAACAGCTGCTTTCTGGTGATTGAGTCATCTCATTTTCTAGATTAGAATCTCTTGTTTGTTTTGTAATGAAATGGTTTGACACTTGGAACAAGAAATTAAGATAAATAGCACACAACTAGAAGAGCAGGTGTTTTTTTCAGCATCCTTCTTATTCTAGGAAAGTGCCGTATTTCTTCTCCAGACATGTTTCTGTGCATTTATAAATTACTCCAGAGTTGGAAATTTCCATTTTCTTCTTGACAGTCTTTCAGTGTCTGGTTCCCTGAAATTTCTCTTGCTTCAGTACTTTTAGTTTAAATCAAATAAGAAGAGTGGCAACTTCTCAGTGTCGTACCTGAAAACCCACATATAAGTGATGTATTACAGCATCGTTTCTTTCTATAGGAGAAATCCCCTGAAACAGTGACATTGCATACACGTAAATGCAGACAGTGTAGCACTTTTGGGAGATTCCAGTGAGGGAATTCCAGCAGCTCCAGTAAATGGAGATGATCCTGGCTGTGAGGGATGTTGCCAAGGTGGATGGGGAGCGAGTGGCTGGAGCAGCGGGGCTGTGTGCGGGGCCGGGGGAGCCACCAGCCGCACACCGGGACACGCTGCTGGCAGGAGCCGCTGGCACCGGGGCTGGAGCGGCAGCAGCTTTAGCTCTACGGGGAGAGACAGAGAGGAATAGGCTGAGACGGAGCTCTTGTGTTAATCCACACTTGGGGTAACGCTACTATCTAAGAAACAGCACATATCTCACTTGGAGGAGAAAAACTATTCTTTTTTTTCTGTGCTGGAAGAGACTTTGCCTCCTTTTCTAACTCGAGTGCTGTTTGCGGGGTGACTCCATCTGTGTCACCTGTGGTTTTGCTGCTTAACCATCAGCACTCGGCAATCGCAGAAATCCACAGAATCCCTCAACCACAAAGTGTTTGTGTAGAGGAGTGTAATAGCCCTCATTTTATACATGGCAAAATGGAGACTGGGAGAATGTCAGCTTATCGTGGTCGTGCCGAAAGCCGTGAGCAGAGGCGGGCACGCAGCCCGTGGGCTCTCCCGGCAGCGCCTGTACTTTCCTCACCACTACAGTCATTCAGAGCTCTGCTTGTGGGAAGCAGAGAAGAGCCCGAGACCAACTCTGATGCGAACAATAAGTCAGTACCTGGCTGTATCTGCTCACACAGTTTTGCTCACCGGTCCCTTCAATATTTCTGCTTACGGACTGGGTGAAACTGGACCACATGCAGGATTTCGTGCTGTTGTTTTCCTCTTCTCTGTGTTGCGTCCAGGTACTGTTCATGCATTAAAGTTAAATGTCAGGTTTTGAGGACAAGGGTTGCTTTCTTTGAATGTCTGCACATCACCTGGTTTAACAGGGAATCTATTGGGATAGAGAGTCTACTGCAGTAACAATAATCTCACGATTTGGCTATGCCACAAATCTCTCTTTACTGTAGTTTATATATCCTAGAAAAAGTTTTGGGAAATACTGAAGTGTGATTTGAGTGAGCAGTCTTTCTGAAAATTGACCCACACTGCGATCTCAAATCGTGGACAAACTCTCTCTCAAGTATAGTTTTCTCCTTCCCTGGTTCTTGTGAGTTGAACCCAGATTGCGCTAATGTCCCTTGCACTCATATTTTCTGCTAAGTTCAACAGGAAAAAGAAAGACTGGTGGTTTGCTTTTTTTTTTAAACCAGGGACTTTTTTTTCTCTTTTCTAGCTCTATTTGCCTTAAGGGGATAGTGTTTTTTAAATGAAGAAAAGTAACTCTTTTTTGTAGCAATTTTAGAACTGGTGAAGATAGCTGAATATATTTATTTATATGAAGATTAAGGACAAGTGCCTCTTCCACTTGTATTTCTAGCCTTCTGTAGAATGTGCTTGAAAATACATATCCCTGATTTTGCATAGGCTACAGCCTGGGCAGCCTGTGAATGTGGTTTTCAGTGGCCCAGCAGTTAGGCAATTCCCTTTCTTTTTACCCAACTCCTATTTTGCTGATTTCCCCCTTTGGAATTTTGTAGAATTGCTATTTCTCTAGAAATTGATTTGCAAATAGAGCAGACAGATTGCATTGGTTCATTCCTACGGAACAGATCAGATATGCTTTTCTTTCTAGATTTGGCTCTGACGTTGCCTGGGTCATGTCTCTTTAAATTAAGGTTTTCGATGCTCACTCTAACTCTGATGGTGTTTTTACACAGAGTACCTTGATGCAACTGTCAAAATATTGGCCCGTGCCATGGTCCCCACCTTACCTAAGGAAGAGGGGCGCGTGTCAAGATTTCTCCTCCCTGCATTTCATTTTTTTTGTTTGTTTGTTTGTTTCGATGACCGTTGTGCTAAGTTCTCTCTCTTTCTGAGGTTTCTGGCAAGTAATAAAAAATTTAAAACCAGGTTGTAAATCCTGGAAAAAATTAGTAGGTTTTCAATGAAATCCCCTGCAAGATGTTGAATTAGAATTCCTTTGAGAGTTCTGCTTTTGTTATTTCTTGCTGCTCTGTGGGCCTGGTGTAATTCACGGCCCTTTTCTGTTACGCTGCCTCGTCTTGGGTGTCAGCTCGGTCTAAATTGTTCTTCTCTGTCCAAATAATTGGATTCACATGCTCGCACCCTTCTCTGCTGTCAGTAGCATCAGTCTCTGCCTCTTAGTTATCCTGTTATTATTAAAGCCCCCCTTTTTGAACATCGTATATTTATTTTTCCTCAAAATGCAACATTTTCCTCCTGTCATAAAGCAAGCGACTTAAAAATTTTCAAAGGCTCTTCCAGCAAAGCTGGGAATTAGATTCTTGTGGAGTCCTTCATAAAAAATTGAAAACTTCATGTATTAACATACATTGATTTATTCATAGTGTTTCATTACAAATAAGCGAGGATCTCATAATATCAGGAAAGGTTAGGAGAGCAGTGGAGCACGTTATATTATATTGACAGCTCAGTTGAAATTGAGCTGCCTCTGGATTGAATTTGGAACACAGGCAAGGAATTGGCTGGTAAATAAGTCATGAGTTGTACTTGCGAGTGTCTGTATATCAACAGGGTTGCCATGGGTGAGCCTAATGGAGCTCCAGCTGAATTTCAAAGGTGTGCTTTCAGCTTGCATTCCTCTAAAGGTGCGTTAGCACCAGCAGCGGGCTCTATTCATGAACGGCTCTCCAGGTCTGGAACCCCGCTGACTTATTCTCTGAGGCGAAAGGCAGGCAGGGCACCAGGTGTAAACCTGCCAGCGGAGGCCAGGAACAGGGGGAGGGAGAGCGTAGCAGAAGCTGGCTTACAGGCTCAGGGAAGAGAAGGGTTTTTGTATAAAGACTCGATGATATTTATTTCATTTAAACATGCCGTTTCATTTCAACATTTCATTTCATTTCCTCTTTAGCACGGGAAAAGACTTCCAAACCCGTTGTTATCAGCAAAAGGCTCCCGTTGTTTTCAGCGGCCTTTTGAGAAGACCGTTTGCCAGAAGGGAAAAATAACCTGATGGAAAATGTATCCGTGTTTGCACCAGAAGTTTTGATGTGCTGGGGGGGAATTGTGTGGGAAATTCTCATGAAAATTCTGCGCTCTGGTTTGGCTGAAGAAGTTCTGAAACTCAGACTAAAAAGCAATTGTTTGTGTCTTTTGTTGTAAATCAGTGCAGGCGGAAGTTTTAGTGGAGAGAAGAAATTAGGTTTTTTCCTAAGTAAAGCGTTGGAAAAATTGTCATGTTTGTTTGCCAGCATCCAACTACAGAACCACTCACTAGAAATACTGAAATGATACCTGTCCTTGTGTTTTCGATGTCTAGTCTCAAGAGATGGCAAAGTGGGGGAGCAGAGAACGGCCGGGTGCAGAAGGCCCCTTATCACCTTACGTCCCTTGTTCTTCATTTGCAGATTACGTACAAGGCCGTTGGGTCTCTGGATCCCAGTGCTGACCTGTCCAGCCAACGAGGGAAAGTCTTCAAGCTGAGGAACGAAACACATCACCTCTTTGTAGGGTTATACCCGGGGACTACGTATTCGTTCACCATCAAAGCCAGCACAGTGAAGGGCTTTGGGCCACCCATCACAACGCGGATCGCAACAAAGATCTCAGGTACTGCCTTGGAGAAGAAGAAAAAAGAACTTTATAGGGCTTTGTTCTTTAGAGCTGCAGCTGATGCATGAAACAATAAAAAGGTATTCAATTTAGTGTCTCCACAGGTTTCATGGGGCAGATTTTTAAAGCGGCCACAATCCAGTATCTGTGTGTGTTTGGGTTACAAATGCACTGTTTAATTTGCGGATTTCTCGAATATCCATTAATATCTTTCTGGAGCATTTTAAATGAGAACCTTCATTAGTTCTACAGATGAACTATCCCTGTATTAATTGTTAGCATTATCTGTGTGGCTGGGAAGCTCCTTCAACATGGCTTTTATTTTCAGATTGCACCAAAATGGATGTAATGAACTAATTTAATTAATAGTGCAAGGAGGCTAAAAATAACGGAGGAAAGCTGGTTTTATGTTTTCTTTCTGAGTAAGAGCAGAGGGAGGGCTGAAGGTAGGCAGACGAGTATATGAAAGGCACTAAAATCAGGAGGCATTGCAAAGAGAAGGTGCACGTGTCTCTAGAATAAAAAGGAAACTGAGGCTAACTATCAGGAAAAAGATGGATAAAGGCATGCTAGAGGTGTTATTGGGCAGACATATGTAGAATTTAATTTTGATGTTTAATTGAGAGCACTAAAATAGGTTTTCTAACACAGTTTAAAACTGTAATTTTTTGGAATACCTTAACTGTTTTTTCAGAAAACCCAAAATAAACATTTGAGAGGTTCAGGACACTTGTAACGCTTGAAATTGTGGCTGGGTGCTGTAGAAAAGAGTGCACAACAGTGCATATTTTCCATTGCCCTGTTTTAAGATTGGTTAATAAAAGCAAGTTGTTAGCAGTAAGTGACAGTGTAAATTTTAAGGCAATAAAATGTGTCCATTCCCTCCACTAACCATCAGCAGGGTGTGAGCCCTTACCATTTAGTGCAAAAGCCCGTCCGTGTCTCAGCCGCTTGAAGTAAAGCCATTAACTGTCGTAACAGCTCCCACGGACTGTTAGGGTTTGCGTGGCCCCGTTGGGAAGGGAAGGCACAGCATGCCCTCGATTCACTTGTGACCAAAGACATAAAATAGCACAGTAATGGTAGTGCTTTTTCCCTCTGATCCAGTTTCTTTGCATTTTATTATTCAGTGAGTGCTCAAATTGTGTTAGAAGCCTGCATGGTTATTAACTGTATGCACACTGAGCTTGGTTTATCATCTTCTTTTTTTCCATCTTCCAAACACCTGGTTCGCAATAGGTGGGCACAGACGCCATGCAGGCATTAGGGTAGTCTCTGACATTAGATTATCTCATTGCACGGTCAGTCCTATGCATGTAATTTGGAAATTACTGTTAAACTTGCTCTAAGAAGCAGTGCCAAGGTTAGTAGGGAGAACAAAGATTTTTGCGTTGACAGGAATGTCCTTGTAAGACTGTATAGATTTTAAAATGAAAAGGCATCTGTGCTGTAGGCAAGTGTGTGTATATGTGTTTATGTGGGTGGACACATTTGTTTATTTCTTAATCACAATTAAATGGCAGAATTCCTGAGGACTTCTCTTTGGACAGAACAGGGATCTTGCAAAATAGGCATTAAATTGATGAGCAGTACTTGCTATTTTAGAGACATCACTGCCAATTCTGGTTTTATTGAAGGTACTACACGACTGTTCCATCTTGACTACACAAGAAAACTGCTGTATCTTATTTCAGTGTCTTGTGACTAATACAGACTGTGATTGCTGAATTATTCTTTACCATTGGCTGCCTTAAAGCAGGATGATGGAGCCTGCAAAGGCAGAGCCCAGCCCATTTCTGGTGTCCAACCAGGCCTTGCAACCTCTCGGTCGTACCTATTGTGGTTTAGGCCAAATTGGCTACTGGGGACCTGGAGGACCCCAGATGGGACCGACAGATGCTCCCCTCTAGCCCTCTACAAAGAGAAGGGCAGAGGAGGAAAAAGAGACTTATAAGTTTAGAAGGAACTAAACTACTTTAATGAAATATTAATAATAAAATAAAAAAGAAATAATGAAATATGTACAAAACCGTATCAAGCTCCTGAGATGACAGTCACGACACCGGCTGGCACAGGGGCAGTCCCAGGCTGGACTCGGTGATGGATGGGAACTGGATTCCGGATCTGCATTCAGGATGGGGATCGCAGACGGACAGAGTCCTCCTCAGACGTCGGCCATTGAAGGAAAGAGAGCTGACCTTTCGATCCCTCAGCCTTTATACTGAGCATGAGGCAGATGGGATGGAATACCCTCGTTGGTCAGTTTGGGGTCACCTGTCCTGTCTGCTCCTCCCCACAGGTGGGACCCCACTGCGCTTTTCCGCTTCCGACCCTCCAACGGGGCAAATAACAAAGTTGGTGGGCATTGGGTGTTATAGCAATAAGTATAAGCAAGGTCCTCTCTGCATCCCATGGCTGGGCATCAGCTATAAACATGGGTCTTATCACTCTGAGAGAGTGAACAGTGTCTGCACAATATGCTGTTCATTTCAGTAGTTAGAGGCCCAGCTAAGAAGCGAAGTTACTGACCAAAATTGGTTCCGTTTTACCTCAAACCAGGACCGTACTGCGTCATGCTCTAACACCATCTCCTCTGGCCACGGCAGATGCTGAACAATTCTTGCTGCGGCACCTCCAGCAACTACAGTCATCTCTGGTATAGAAGCCCGCTGGTGATGTGCAGCTTCTTTAAACAACTCGCACTGCTTCCCCCTGATGCAGAGCACCTTTTTGCTCATTAAGGAATTGCCATTCCTTCTGAAGTCATTGCCAGCTTATTGACAGGGAAGTCAGTGGCTGAGGTGATAATAGCAACCACCGTTCTTGACAGTTTTCGGGCATTTAGATAAAACTCCTGATTGTAAACAGGATTACAGTGGAAATCACTGTGAGAGGATTAAATATGGGATCCCCCACAATGCAACTTGCCCTTGTGAGTTACAGGTGAACTACTTGTGTGAATTCTTCTCTTTGCTTTATACTTTAAAGATATTTTAACAGAACTTGCATCTTTGGAATAAATTTGGTGCTTCTCTGATCTCGTGATCTCTTCAGTTCTCCCCCAGTAAAAATTGTCCCAAACAGACGTCTGCATTGGGGAAGGAGGAAGTAATGTAATAAGTAAAATAGGTTTCCTCAGGAAAGCCATCCTACTTTCACAAAATGATCCTAATAAAAGATAAAAATGCAGAAATAGAAACTAGACTCTGGCTAAATGTGACTATTAAGTGGTTTTCCGTATCGCTTTGGGGAATGTGTCAGCACAGCGATGGGGATGCGAAGGCTGGGTGCTGCCCGAGCATGCCGTTGGAAGCCGTGCCGCTGCCTCTAGATTCAACATCACTGAGGTGCTGGGGTAAAATATCATGGGTTTGAGTGCTAAAATAACCTGGCTCGCTTGTGCTCCTCTCTTTTCGTTTTTCGTGCTTTATAACACACCTTAATCAAGGAGACATGGCTTAAGTCTATGTATTAAAAACCATAAGATGTGGGAGTTCTAATCCGATGACCAGAACAGTAAACAGGAGCTCAGTTTCCTCGGCGCTGTTCTCAGCTCTGCCACTGATTTACTATCCTAAGCGGTCTTTTATAATGCCCATGAAGTTCTCTTTCTTCACTTTTAAAATTGAAGGAATGATCCCATCTCAGAGGATTACTAAGTCTTAAGAAATCAAGACAGCATTTTCAAAGCCAACTTGAAGATTTGGGTGTCTGATTCCTGTTTAATTTTAATAAGAAAAGAGTGTACAAATATTTAAGCAATTTTGACAATTTCGGTCACAACATTGGGAAGTATTTTGATGTTTCATTGGAGAAATGTTAAATGGTCTCCAAGAGATGTTAATATTACGTTGCCATCACTACCAAAGGCAGGAACTGGTATATAACTAACATGTTGCTCTTTGTTCTGCTGTAGCACCGTCGATGCCGGAATACGACACGGACTCCCCCCTGAACGAGACTGACACCACCATCACTGTTATGCTGAAGCCCGCGCAGTCCCGGGGAGCACCTGTCAGGTTGGCTTTTTGTCTTCTTTTTTCACAGTTCTCCTCTCCTTCCTCCCCAGGCTTCACTCACTCACGCCTCTCTCATTCTCGTCTGATAACGCAGCTGCTGAAAGCGAATGCTGACTAAAAGGCCAACTCTGCTGTTGATTCTGCCTTTCAGTCTCCTTTTATAAACGCCTCAACCTACTTGCCTCCCGCTGTTAACCTCCGGGAAGGATTACTGATAGCATTGCACGGGGTTATTACCCTTTCAGCATCGCTTCAGATGCCTCTGCAGCAGCGGCGTTTCAGTACGTGCAGCTGTGTACTGCGACGTTGGGAGTTCAGCATCGCCCCGCAAAGGTGGAGGAGCCGTCCGGCCTCCCTCTCCTGCCCTCTCATCCGTGGTGGACAAGGCCTTTTTTGTAGCCATCCTAGGAATGTCCGAACTATCTTTAATGCTTACACTTGCGTTTGTTCAGGTTCTGGATCTAACTGCACTCCTCACATCTGCATGTTGCAATCCAGCTGTTGCTCCTGGGCTGGTTGCAGAGTGAAGTAGCCATCTAGTTCAGAAAAGATGAACTCAGGTTTAAGTGAGGCTTTTCCAGCTGCAGGCAAGCGGTTTCCACTGGCAGAGTCGAGGATTTAGGAGCAGGGAGCTGCACAGGCACCTGGGGAACAGAGCTTGCAGAACACATTTCTTGCTGTCCCTGAGCTGGGTCCCGTTCTTACTGATGAGTTGCAGAAATGGGACACTCGACTGCGGATCGCTCCCTGACTGTGGGAACACAGCTTTACAGAGCTCTCTGCTTCATCGCTCTCTTCCGTCTAGGTGAATTTGTATGTGGTGAAAGGCACCAGCACAGACGACCAAACTTCCCTTCTGAGCCGGCACTGCCTTATCTGTCGCTGGCAGAAGCGCCAGTGCCAGCTGTGGGCGTTCATCCTGCCGGTCTCCTCAGCCCAGAGCAGGAATTAGAATCGCTTATGATCAAAATACAGGGTACTGCTTTGCAGGGGTGTCCGGCAGCCGTTACCTCCCCGTGGGCTCTTCAGGCTTTTACCTCCAGTTTTCACAAGAGACTTCTGCAATTTTTCCTATGGGTGGTATTTTAAAAACCCGTAGTCGCTCCTTTCAGAAGTGACTTGTGTTTCTGCGCCCCGCTGGCAGGATCTCGGTGCTTTTCAAGGATTTCCCACTAAGTATTCACCACCAAATTGCTCAGATGTAACCTACTTGATTTCATGAAATCAATTATATCAGTTGGCGGTCCACTCCATGTCACAGCTTTCCCCCAAATTGCATTGATACTTTCAAGCAAAAAAATCTGCTCTTTAAGACTTAGCATCATCCCTTTTCTAGTTTTTCTGAGTAATGTATTTTAAAGTTTCCCTTTCAATCTCTGGTACTCCATATGAGGGAATTTAGGAGCCTATTTTCTGAGTCCTTTAGGGATGTTTTTCTGCTGGAAAAGAGCAGTAAAATCACACAGCTCTGTTTTGTTTTATTTCTTTATATGGGGGAACATTCCTGTATCTCATTTTACCACCTGCTGTCTTAAGAGTGTTGCTATTTTGTCTTTTTATTGAAAAGTCTTGTGATTTTTCTCGAAGACAATTTACTATACTTTAACTGCATTCAGTGAATAATGTCTTTTCCAGCAAATTGCATCTGTTATAAAAATTTGGTAGAGATTTTTATAAATTTTCACTCTGATTTCTTTAATTACATTGTAGCCTATTATACACACATTTGCAGAGAGTGCAATATTTACATGCCCCATCTAAGCAATAAGATTACTTCCATAATGTGCCCATTTCATTGACTTAGACGTGTGTATGAAAACCAGAATGGACAAGCACTGGAGGGGGAAGGGCGGGGGGGGGCAGGGCGAGGAGGTCTTGGGGAGAATTTTAGCTTTTTATTCACCACGACAGCCTCAGAATGTGTGAATGCCTTTCCCTGTATAACCGTATAGACTGTTCTTAGTCTAGCCTCAACAAATCTGGTTGCTTCAACCTTAGATTTTCCCAACCTCTTCCCTTTTCTTTCAGTCTGTTCTGCACACTCTCCAATTTGTGTCAATTCTCCCCAAAAAAAAACATATCCAAAAGCAGGTAGCGCTCCCTCGGAAGCCTCAACAGCACCCGGGGGATTAGGAGGATAGCATACTGTGAACTGCTTGTGACACTCTTAACACACAAGAATGAGGTATTTCTTCCCCCTCAGCGTTCTTTTCGTATTCAAGCTGAGATCCAATATATCCTCTTTGTTGTTGTCTGGTTAGTTTTTCTACCTTTTGTTTGTGTGTGTTTTATTTGTCCTTCAAAAGTACAGTATTTTCCATTTATCTCTATTAAATATGATAAAATTGGTTTTCAGAATGTTTTAAAATTCTGATACAAACTTAAATGAATTAGAGCCCCTCTTAGGCTGATGCCATCCTCTATTCAGTTACCCAAGGCGTTAGTGAAAACACAGATTCGAGACAAATGCCTGCGAAACCTCCATGAGCAGCAGCGAGCTGGTGCGGAGCTCCCTGGAGGGGATCCTGCATGATCACAGAACCATAGAATGGTTTGGGTTGGAAGGGACCTTGAAGGTCATCTCATTCCAACCCCCCTGCCCTGGGCAGGGACACCTCCCACCAGCCCAGGTTGCTCCAAGCCCCGTCCAACCTGGCCTTGAACACCTCCAGGGATGGGGCAGCCACAGCTTCTCGGGGCAACCTGCCCCAGGGGATCACCACCCTCAGAGTAAAGAATTTCTTCCTCATATCTCATCTAAATCTCTCCTCTTCCAGTTTGAAGCCATTCCCCCTTGTCCTATCACTCCATGCCCTTGTAAAAAGTCCCTCCCCAGCTCTCCTGGAGCCCCTTTAGGCACTGGAAAGGACTCTGAGGTCTCCCCGGAGCCTTCTCTTCTCCAGGCTGAACCCCCCCAACTCTCCCAGCCTGTCCTCCCAGCAGAGGGGCTCCAGCCCTCCCAGCATCTTTGTGGCCTCCTCTGGACCCGCACCAACAGCTCTGTGTCCTTCTGATGTTGGGGTCCCCAGAGCTGGAGACAGTACTCCAGGTGGGGTCTCAGCATGCTTATAGGGATGCCTCTTCTCCTGCCCTCCCTTGTAGACATGACTATGCTTTCCTAGATCCCTTCCATTTTGCGTGCTGACCTTTTGTATCCCAGCCTGCCTGAGATGATTCTGAAAAGGTACTTGAAAGTAGTCTGAAATAGATTTTCCTCGCACCTTCTTATAAAACCTCTGATGCTGAAATCTTTCACGATGCAGGAATAGGTTGACCCCTCATCTCTTCAACCTGATGGTTCTCCAGGCAGCCAGTTTCTGCTCTGTAGTGCCCTGGGTTTTATTTATAGTCCTTCCAAACTGTGAAGCTGAAAAAAAAAACCCCTGACTATACAGTAAACATTCTTAATATTTCCTCTTATATACTGGGGATGGTGAGTTGGAGTACGTGTGGAGGTGCGATTATGAACTAGTATCTGTACTTAAGATTGTTATGTGACTTCGTGTTATTTCATTCTGCTGTAGGCTGAGCAGCGTACAGATGGAGTATGGTCCGCAAGATCATTTTTAGAGTAATATTGTAGAATATTTCAAATAAGATTCATTGTATTTCCGTTCATCTGGAATGCAGGTACACCAAATCCAAAGTCACTTTCAACATTAAGACATTTCTGATGTTCCCCAGTGCTCGTGATAAATAACTTAAATGAGGTTGTTTATAAAACTAACGATCGTGAACTCGGCTTTGTTAACGATCTATAGATAACAGTGAAGACACTTTCATATGAACTAATAGAAATAATATAAACTTAGATACTCTTTCATCTATTTTGTCCTGGTGCCAAAAGAAAGGTGAAACATTAGCAGGCATAAATATTCTCCCTTGTGGCACAGGCATTTCGTTCTTGCCTTTATTTTCCATGGTATAACCTGCAGAGCTTGACTCCACGTTGCCCTTTAAAAATAACTTTTAGGTGTTCTTATATCAGTCTAAAGCCCATGAATGGTGCTGTGATTGATTTGCTGAAGAGTGACATTCATCTATAATAGATTCAGAAGAGGAAAGAAGAATGCAAGTGTTCCCAATCTTTCCTCCTCAACTCTTTCCTGAAAATCTCCAGTGTGATTTTGAGGGTAATTCTGCCTTTGAATCTGTTATTGCAGGAGGGCTGAGTCAGTCCTTCATAGATTATTCACATATGACATCTTTAGACCTCTATTTGAGAATTTATATCTCATTCACTGCTTGAAAATACCACTGTGAAGGATTTTATCTACATGGCATGTCCACTGGGCTGTTTTTTGCGTGCTAGGTACTTGAAAGTCCATCTGGTTTATTAACATGCGGTTGGTTCTATTGGTCTACCTATACTACTATTAGGGAGAAAATCAAATTTCCAGAGCATGTATTAGTTTTGAGGTTTCAGAGTTTAAATAAATGTTCCCCTTAGGTGTGATTGCCTTGTAGATAACGCTGCTCTGTGTATGGAAGCTGTAGGACACTGTAGAAGGTTGTCAAAGAAGAGTCTGCAATTATTTTGAGGGGTTTCAGACAGTGGAGAACTTTTCTGTTGGATAAGGGTAGATTTAACGTCTCTCTCTTCCTTCAGTTCTCTCTGAGGTGTATCAGTAAATCTGCATCTGCGATGTTCTTTTGCGAGTCCGCCGGCACACACGTACAGGACGGTCTTAGGTGCCTGACCCCATACCGGGCTAAAGAACAGTAGTATTAGAACAAAGGTGTTCAATCTTTGCACTTGCCTTTATGCATATATATGGGGTTTTTTTTTTTTGGGGGGGGGGAGGTATATATATTTTATATATATATATGCACAGTGTAAGTAGCATGTGTAAGTGATTCTGGAGAAATATTCAGGGAAGAGTCATCTATTGTGTATGCATGCGGTGGTCAGATACTTGTAATCGCTTTGATGGTGAGGAAGGATGGGTTAGTTTATTCATATACATCTTAAAGGAAATAAGTAAATCTAAATAGGACAA